GGTGCCCAAATGTTTTTTTAAATTTGTTTAAGTTAAAACTGATCCGTATTTTTTCTAAAAAAATTCCATAAATAAATATTTGCAAAGATTTTTTCATGATAATCAAAACTTTAAAAGGTAAAAAATAATTAGTTTCTTGCCATGTCATAATTCATTCTAACCATATCATATTTTATATAGAAAAGTAAATGTGGGGATGACACATAAGCATCTTCTCACAAATCACTTTTCATTAAGGTTAGTTATTGTTGTTTTTTTTTTTCTTTTCCACGAAAGTCTTTTACTTATTATAAGGAGAATGTAAAAGGAGAGAGGGTCGCCTCTCCAAGTCCAAGTGAGTTGGTGTGGGGTCTGTCTCCATCGGATTCTTCTCTCTCGAGTTCGAATCTGTCAACTCGTCACTTCTTTGTCTGAAAGTAAAACCACATGGTTTTGTAAAATCATGATTTACAGAATCTTCCTTACATCTTCTTCTCACCTTCTGGCCCTCCCATGTCTCCTCTTGTCTTTATCCCTAGTTACTATGTGAGTAAGAGATTCATTCACACGACGGACATAAACAAAAAGTTGAAGAAAATTCTTGTCCTCAAACTGGTCCCCTACCGATTTTTACACTTGTTAGTTCAGCATTATCATACCATAAATGTTACTGTCTGAGAGCCCTATTCGACTTCTTCCAGTTCTCAAGAGCCAGCCTTACCCATCGCTTACATAAATCATAGCAAAGTGATACCGAGTTCGGCTTAAGCCAGATACATGGACACTAGCAGTTTCAGCATCCCCAAAATCGCAGCTCGAGCATGGATATAGCCAGTAGTCCTTCTTCCATCCATTGGGGCTTATTAAGGCTCCCTGAAAAAAATCCATTGCTTGGGCCACTGCTACTATCGCGAGCTCTGTTGGCACAAAAAATGAAGCCATTACCAAGCTGATACTCCCTCGGTCCCTCTTCTGGTGCTATCTCAGTAGTTCTTGTCCATACGGAACACATCATCATTCCCAGAAGAACATTTGTACCAACAAATTTGACACAGGTCAGGCTGAAGGGTGATAGTTAGTCAAATGAGAATATGCAGGCCAATTTAGCAGAGATAATATCAAAATCTTTGTTGAAATGTGGATCTTCTCGTCCTTGTATCGTCCATTGTAACAGTCTGATATTTAAGTCATTCAGTATTGTATCTCCATCTTCTATGCAGTGAAGTTGAATCAGGCGGTCGATGCAATTAACCAAATACTTTCTGGATCTTAGCTTAAACTGGTTAATAAACTCCTGGGCGTCTTCTTCAGCTTCGAAACTTGATACACACATACTCTCTAAAGTGTCACCTACGTTGAAAACAAGACGTGTGCCTTCAATAGCCTCCTCCTTGGTAATTTCATTTGACAATAACGGAGTTATATTAGAGCTTCTCTTTCCTTGTTTGGACCCGGTAATCCGTGGTTTCTTAATGTCGAGAATTTTCCCAGTTGCAGCGTAGTGCAGTACCAGTTCATACTCCTCATCTGTTACTAAATATGGCGAACCAATCAGAACGCCAATCACCACTCTTCTAACCAAAAGGTTGTTTTGGAGGCCAGAGCTGAACGATGGATGCGTTTTCTGAGAATCCAATTCATAAGAAACTGACTTGGTGATTTTGTTGTGAAATTCGCTGACCAGATCTTCCACAATACTGGAAGCCTTTATTTTGCCAGAAACGAGCGTATCTGGTTTCTTTCTCTTGCCAGTTATTGTCTCACTACGATGTGCTTCTGAGCCGCAGCTTCTTCTGGTATATATCTCTGAGACTCTGACGAGACACTTCGTTAGTGATTCTTGGATGGTTCCACTTACAGGGTTCAGAATCCAAGCAATGTATGTTGCCGCAGCAATGGAGAGACCTTCCACATCACATCCTTGTCTACTGCCAGCCACTTGTGAAGTGTTTCTATGGTGGATATTTTCTAACGAATTTCCTTCCAAGAAGAGCATAGCAGAAGCAAAACAAAACCAATCTGGGAAGTTAATAGCCAAAGCCCTGCCAGAAGATACAACATCCTCATTCAAAAACCACGCACACGCACGAATATAGATAGATCAATTTTTATTTTCATGTAAAGTTACCATTCGGTTTTGTCATCTAATGCTTGAACTTTTATGGGAGTAGGCTTGCAATTAGTATCCCGTCGGTGTTGCTCAGGAACAGCACATTGTTTACTAATAGTATGGGCTAACATTACGAGGGACTTGGAGGTGAGAGGACCAGCCAAGATTCTCAGCAATTGACACTGGAAAGGAAAGTATGCATCAGAGAATGGCAACAAGGAAGCTAATTCCATTGGTACACCCCACGGCGATGGTCTTGAAATCGTGTCCACTATTGCAGAGACCAAACCGGCAAGAAATTCAAAGACAGAAGCAAGTCCCCTGGCGTTAAGAAAGAAATTGCATCAGAAAGCAAGGAAGATGGAAAACTAGAAATTACACAGCATAAGGTTAACTGAATTCATTATAGCAGATTTCCATGACACGAATTGGATAGGAACTCACGTTAGCAAAAACCACTTGTGTAAGAGGGCTCTGGTGTTGATAAACATAGAAGGAGAAAGCACTAAGCATATGACTATATCGCGCCACTCTGCCCTCTCTAAGAGCTCATTCTTTAAACAAAGGAAAGGCCTCTCTAACACATCTTTCAAGATTCTGGAAACATCTTCCTTCAAAGACAATGGATCTTGATACCAGAACAGGATCCTGATCATCAAAAAGTGTCAGACCGGTCTACCTTTTTCTGAAACAAGAGAGCAAACATCGCCGAATGCGTGCCTTCAGTTTCAAAACTTGTATCGACTAATATGGAAAATGAACAAGAGGTCAAACCTCAGTGGTATCTCGTAGTTCTCGATAGATGATTCTCTCGGTAAGTAAGCAAGAAGTTTGGAGACAGCCCTATTTCGTCCATCCCCTAGCTTTCTATTCGCGATAACAACGCTGCATGACGTTGAAGCTGCCGATCTCACAACAGCTTGGAACAACAATGTAGCCAGTCTTCCTAGAAACAGTTCCAAGTCAGAAAGAAGAAGATAATTAAAAGCTCAAAATTTAAACTAGAAGAAGCTAAATCAAACCCGGTACCATTTGCTCCCAATTTATCAATAATATCCTTAGAGATTTCGATCAGTTCTTCAGAGCACCGAGGTAAATTCGAGCTCCCAAACTGTAATGTTTCCACATTGTGATACCTAAGCACTTTACATTTGATTGAAGATGATAAGACGCAAACAATTGTTCGCACCAAATACTCAATCGCCGAATCAAAAACCTAAGACGAAATTTTTCAATCAAAACAAGTAAGAAACACGAAATGTATATAGAAACAAGGCAAAAATCGAGACTTTAACAGAAGATATACAAACCTGAGGTGCCTTGAAGCACATTAGAGATATCGCCGATTCCAAAACCCTAACCCCAGAATCCTCGCCGCCGATATCTAGAGTCAGAGATCGGTTAAGCTCCGAGATAGCGAGTCCCAGAGACGAAGAGGACGATTCTTCTTCGATAACTTGATCTCCATTCCAAAGCCGGTAAGCAAGCGCGTCCAAAAGATCGGCGACCGGAGACGGAGGAGACATCGAGCAGAACCGCCGGCGATTACACAAATATTGAATTCAGTTTACTACTACAGTGGGATGAATCACTACAAACCGGTTTAGCTAATATGTTCCTACTCCGATCAAAAACCGGTTAAGCTATGTGTAATGACCAGTTAATAACCTACTAAGCCCAAACCCAATTAACATTGAGGCCCAATCTTGTGAAGACATTGCATTTAGAGGGTAAAACCTTAATTACGGAAGTAAAACCATAAATACTGACCAATCAGAGTGCAAAACCAGAATTACAAAACAAACTGAGGGTAAACCACTAATTAAGGAACAAAATGAGGGTAAAAAGTAAAAACCATGAATATGGATCAATCAGAGGGCAACATGATAAGTAACAATAAATATGAAGCAGTATAATTACCAAAATAAAACTATAATTACGGAACAGAGTTAGGTTGAAACCATAAATATAGACCAACCAAAGGATAAAACCATAATTACAGCACAAATTGAGGGTAAATACATAAATATAGACCAATCAGAGTAATTAACGAATAATCCGAGGTTAAACGACAAGTTTATATCCTTCTAATATGAAGATTTTTGTACAAGTCGTAAAATGGAAAGATTTTTGGCTGAATATCTGATTTCTAACTCTTGTGTTTTGTGTTTGAGTTTGATGTCTCACTCGAGATAATATATAGATAATATGAACAATTGGTGGGACAATAGATTGAACAAGGTAATCAAATCCTTTATCACATTATCTTTAACGCCAAAGACTAATCGTTTCTAGTTCAAATCCTTTATCACATAGTTGATAATCAAAAGACTAATCAAATCCTTTATCACATTATCTTTAACGCCAAAGAAGAAACACACATTCATACAAGAGGTTTCCACTTCTTCATGGGCTATTTTTTTTTGGTTATATTGATAATGGGGAAATTTACATATATACCACTATATCACCAAAAACAGAGGTAAAAACCAACCGTAATCTACGCCAACAGATTACAAACTAGAAACACTCTTTTCGCAATCAAAAAGCTCATTCAACTAAAACAATGTTTCCTAATAAACAAAAGATTAGATTAGCTTAGCTTAGAAAAACCATTATTGAAAAAAGTATGAAAGATTAGATAAGTGTTGGAGTGGTGATTGAACTTGAAGAATATGGGATTTTAGCTTGGT